ATGAAAGTGGTCTCTGTTTTGAAGAGGCTATCAAACCAAGAAATGGCAGCGGCAGTTGCCAAACATAAACAAAGTAACCACATGTTGACTCACCAGTTGTAATTGTTTCACAAGCAAAGATTGACAGCCAACAGCAATGGTATTGCATGTCGGATTGTTGATACATTGTTTTCATCACAACCTCCGCTTGTTGTACGCGGCAAGAGGCTTTGCAGCAATATGGTCCTCTGCGCTATAAAAGCGTGAAGCCTTTGCTAGCCATTCCTCCAATTCGCTTTCATCCACTGCTGTCATTGCAGCAGTGACATAGCAACCTTCGTGAATTTTGCAGTTCGCTGCAAAGCTTGCTGGCTCCCAATGGAGAAGATAAGACACCGTGCCACAAACTACACCATCTCTCTTGATGGTGTTGCCTATCCTGCTCAACACGCCTGAATTGCCCTCCGTGGCTGAACTTGGTCTCACACAAACAAATTCTTTTCTATCCTGTTGAGCTACAACCTCATCAACAACAAGCTCTTCTAAAAGGTCTTGGTCAATCGGCTCTCCTGGATCCAATACGTCATCGCTGTCCTAACCAGGCCGCAGTTAACAATTGAAGTCAAAGTTACATTCAAATCACAAAAAGAACTGCTGATTATTACGATAGGCATTATATAACGGTATACTATATATATATATATATATAATGCTCAATGTGACTCAAGACAATGAGTGTGGGTTGAGATGTCAAGGGCATCCAATGGATCCTCATCGGCGTTGCAAACTTCTTCAACAGGCCACCTGACGATCACACACCACAACACTATCCAAAGTTGTTTGCTAAAAGCCATAACACTGTAACCTTTGGTTGCACTTGCACACCTTTAGATTAAGAATTGCTTTTAGTTAAAGTTAAAACAAGACACACTGGCTGCGGCTCAATGTTGCTGGCAGCATCATCCACCAACCGCAAGCAATTCAATCCACGAAGCTCATATCGCTCCACGGAAACGCACACTTCTATGGCTTCACGCTTCAACAAATCCGCACATAGCTGCATGCTTGTACAAAAAAAGAACTCTGTTTGTCCATCATCATGGACTGCGACAGTTTTAAGGTCTGGTGGATTGCCTACAGCTCTGCACAGGATCAAGAGTTGCGGCCTGAAAAATGGTTTTCCAATACAATAATGTGTCACCTCTTCAATAGGGTCAGCATTGGGAGGGTTGAAGACAGCCTTGACCTTGAACAGAATGTCGCCTGATCTCATTGCATCTTGCGCCATCCTTGGTCGAATTTATGATGTGACTGACTATGCCTATGAATATGAACTATGGCTAAATAAATTCAAAAAGATAATGATGATGATGATCGACATATAACAGACATTATTAAGTTGTTCTTTGTTCACATACTCCGAGATTCTTGACCGTGTTGCTTTTACACATAGATTGCACTTGCCCAATGAGCGCTCGTATGAGTGTTCTGTGCAGCACAAATTGGCGTGCCCTCAAGCCACTTCGTGCACAGTACCCAAACTTCCAACATGGTGCTTTGTAATGTTTATCGGCAGAGGACTTCATGCGTGATGCTTTGTCAACATCATGTTGTATCTCTGGCAACCATCCTGACCAGTTCTCTGCTGCGTTGGTCCGATTGCACCCACAACTCCTGCCAATGGAGAAGTTAAGTTAACTTCAACAAGAAACGTGTTTGCTGATGTGTGGCAATCTAGCATTCTGCAAAGTGCAAAACACAAACAATTTTGACCCATTTGACTCGACTGTTTGATTCTTACTGTACTCAAATAATCAGATCTAAGTGATCTAAGTTCTGCAGGCTAACAGCCCAGCAGTTAAGCCAGGTTCAAAACCTGAATTAGTGAACCTGACCGATTGGTCGGCTTGTATGGTTCGCCGGGCCGCCCAAAGCCACTAGCAACAAAAATAGCAATAACTGACTGATAGCCTTGTGACACGGCAGTGTTTTACACACGTCGCATTCCACAAGTCAAATCAAGTCTCATCTAGTCTATCACACATGCCTTGCCTACTACTAATCTGAAACTCAACGTCTCAGCTAGGAGAACCTGCATCTCGAGATCATGCAGAGTTTGCCGCTCTTGTCTGTGAGCTTCCAGCCAGCCTTGAGAAGGCTGCGCTTCAGATACCTCACAGTCACGTCACATACACATTCAACAATTAGTCAAAGGGACACTGATCAGCAGAGAGACCGATCTCTCAAATGTTACATAAGACCACTTGTACTTGTAGTATGTTAAAAGCCTGCCGCCTAGACACAGGTACCAGGGAATGGGTTTCTGCAAGGGATGAAGGACAAGGTTGCTGAAGGATGATCTGATGGTATTTGTGAGCTGCGGGAGGTGCGAGGTGGGAGGTCTGAGGTCAAGAAAGAACAGGGTCATGAGGTCATGAAAGTTTCACCCCAAAAA